TCTCAAGGAAATATTCCACAAGCTGTACAAAGAGCATTAGAAAACATTGTTAGCAATTCTAGTCAAAAGAGGAAAACAGCAAGCTTTGCCTATAGTCATTTTGAATTTGTAAAATTAGGCTTTTCAGAATTAATATGTGTTTTACATATGTGTTTACTGGAGGTGAACTGGCAGTGTCCCTGGCAAAGAGTGATCTCCGAGTTGCTTCTATCAACAGGAGTGGCCAGAGCAGAGGTGCAGAATGACTTGAGGACTCAGGTTGTAGGGAGCTTACATTTTCCATCTAAAATAAACCTTAAAACCCTACAAAGAGCTGGGCACAGGGGTGGTGCCTGTAATTCCAGATACTCTGGAGGCTGAGGCAGGAGATCACTGAGCCCTGGAGTTTAAGACTAGCCTGAGCAACATAGTGAAACTCTGTCTTAAAAAAATCCTAGGAAGAAAGGGGTACTTTTTCTATCTCTTAGCCAAAGGCATTTATAATGTTTCTTCTATAACTATAAATGGGATTTTAAAAATTTGCATCAAAATCTGAAATTGTAGTTTTAGACTCACATAACATTAGGCAAAGGAATCATAGAGGAATCATCTTGACAAACTCCCTCATTTTGCAGAATGAATTCACTGAGGCTGAGAGGCTTAAAAGGACTTAGCCAAGAGATGGAAGGAGTCTATAAAGTTTGATTAATCAATAAGCAAACATGGCTGGGTGCAAGGCATCAGCCTCAACCCGTGGCAGCTTCCTGGGATAAATGTGCTGTGGAAATTGGAGGCAGTAACTGGGAGTGCTAATGACTCCATGGAGTAGTGAGGCACTCATGGCCGGCACAGGTATGTGCAGAAGAGAAAGAGCCCTGCTCTGGTGCTCCTGCACATACCTATGGACAGGTCCAGGGGGACTGGGATACCTAGTCCACTGTGTAACTGTGAGCTTCCTGGTTAGGAAGTGGCCTTATCAGTCCAGGGCTTAGCTAAGGAGTCACATCCTATTTCCACTGATCTCAGTCTGCATTTTCCCTTTGAGCTAATTCAGATCTGGTGGGCTTGCTTCTTGCCGATAACCAAAGAGGGAAAGGACTATTTGGATTTTTTCTTTTCAGCCAGCCAAGTAATCCTAAATCAAAGACTTCTTGTCTTTCCTCTTACCAACGTCCTTTAATTACCCTTTTAATATTAGCTTTTCATGCAAATGTTTTTTATGTACTGAGAACATCCAGCCAAGGGCAAGATGAAGCAATTCGGCAATAGTAACTACACAGTAAAATAAAAACTAAGATCCTCTTATGTAAAAAAAGAAAAAAAAGTTAGTAGCCTCTGAGACTCTTCCAGGGGCCACTAAAATAGAAAAATCTATCTGCCCATGACAGTACCTCTGAATGGGACTGTATTTGGAGATAAGGCTTTTATAGAGGTGATTGGGGCAAATTAGGTCATCAGGGTGGGCCCTAATCCAAACTGGCTTAAGAGAAAGTTAGGACGCAGACCCCCATAGAAGACAGAGGGAGAAGACAAGGCAAGGAGCGAGGTCTCAGAAGAAACCAAATCTGCCTACACCTTGATTTGGACGTCTAGCATCCAGAACTGAGAGAAAATTAATTTCTGTTGTTAAAGCCACCCAGTCTGTGGTCCTTTGTTATGGCAGCCCTCGCAAACTAACACACATGGTCGTCATTATTTGCTGACTTTGCCCACAGTTGTTCTCTATCTGAGAGCAGGTTAAGGTCCAACACAGGTGTCTCTTCTTGAATCTTCTTGAGTAGGATGACTGGAGAAGGTCTTGTTTGAAATAAATTTGTACTAGGAGATTAGGGGACAGGCCACAGAGAATAAATAGTCTTGAGGGGAGCAGGGAAAGGAGGCTCCTGAGTGGAAAGGTGGTGATGAGGCCTGGGAACCTCCCTCCTCCTTACTGCTCAATCTCTTCTACACCTCTGCTCCATTGGAAATGTGAATGCAGTGTATACAGTATCTGGGTACCTCTCAAAACACATATGATTTTGATTTCTGATTTTTTAGAAATACTAAACTAATGATATTGTACAAAAAAATACAGTATTTTCAGTACTTAAAAATAGCCTGGGATATAAAAGCTGCTATTTATATTCTTAATTCTACCCAAAACTCAACCCATTAAGCTTACAGTTCACAGCCAAGCATCATAGCTCACACCTGCAATTCCAGGGATTTGGGAGGCTGAGGTGGGAGTATTGCTTGAGGCCAGGAATTTGAGACCAACATTGGCCACATAGCAAGACCCTCAACTCTACAAAAAATTAGCCCTACATGGTGGCATGTGCCTGTAGTCCCAGCTACTTGGGAGGCTAAGGTGGAGAGATCCCTTGAGCCCAGGAGTTCAAGGTTATGCTGAGCTGTGATCGGGCCACTGCACTCCAATGAGACCCTGTTTCTAAAAATATTTTTTTTAAAAAACTTACAGTTTACAGGATTAAGTCAAAGTGACTAAACTTCCTATATACCTTGGAGATCAGTTATATGAGTTAACCAACTTCACAATGAGTCTATGGCACTATTAAACAACAGACAATTTAATATTCTTTTTTGTCAGAAGAGATAAAAACTCCTTGCCCAGAGCAGGATCTCAATAAATATTTTTGAGTAAAGAGAAGATATTACCTAAAATCAAGTGGCATATTTGTCTAAGATTCAAAGATTCAATCCAGATGTTCAGTTTGTTTTGAAAAGAAGGCAATCCATAATGGTTAGGACAAATGTCACATTTTATTTTCTTTAATTTTTGGATTACATATACTGTTAGAGTATAATTTTCAAAAAGATAAAATGACTAATATGCAAATAGTAATGAATATATACATATATATATATATATACGTTTTTTTCAACACATTGAAAATTGGAGAACAATAAGTTAAAACCAGTTCAGTGAGCATTTGAGAAGCTAGTTACACAGGTAGTTTAACAAAGGACTGAAGACATGTGATCCAGTGGTGGCCACCAGCCTGCAGACCATGGCATTTGTTATTTGCCTCTGCCTACGGCCTACTGCTTCCAACCCTCTGACGCATTCCTGACCAGCAGCAAGAACTGCTTGACTCCCACCTGCAGGCTCATACCATAAATCAATATTCCTTCCAGGCTGGAGAAATGGGAGCAGTTTTTATCTGAAGACTTTGGGACTCAGCAATTAAGTCACCTGACTTCTCATTTTGCCCTAAACTTGTGCATCAGTACATACAAGTGGCCCTCTGCCTTATGTTCTGAGACTGGCCTGCGCAGTGTACACTAGAGCTGGTACCTGCCTCAATCCCTGTATCTCAATTGCAGGCATGGAGACCTAGTTTGAACAGCTACCCCTTTAGCACTAAGCTCCTGCCTCACTCACATCCTCCTTTTCAGAAAACATCAACCTCCCTCTGAATCCCAGAGCAAAGGTTGCAGTTCTGCCATGGCTGACAGATTTCCTGGGTGCCAACTACCTCCCTGGAGCAGCCACACCTTACCTACTTCTGAACCCTCTGTCAGGAGTCAGGGTACTCCTCTCCACCCACCTCCCAGGACATACCTGTTATTTTTCGCAACCCTTCCTTCCACAACTGCTTGCCTAAACCACCACCTCTTTTCATTGCTAATTCTCAGGATATAATATTCCTAAATCTTATCTTCCTAGACTTTCCTCCAGTATTGGACACTACTGACTGCTCTCTCCTTGAAAAGTTCTCTTCCTTTTTGCTCATGTGACACTACTCTCCTGGTTTGCTTTTCAGTTTCTGTTGTAGGCTCTTTTTTTTGCCTCCTCTTAAGTGAAGGTGTTCTTTGGTTCTCTCCTTGGCCTTCTTCTCCCTTGGCTCTCTGCACCCACCCTGGCAATCTCACTCCCATTCTCTGGGCTTTCATTTGGATCCATTTGCTCAAGAGTCCCAAATCTTTCTCTCCCGCTCACATCTTCTTCATGAGCTCCAACTCTCCTATCTGGCTACCTATTAGATGTCTTGTATGTACTGCAAGAATCGCTTCCAAATGGAATTCAATTTTCTCTCTTTCCAAACTTGTATTTTCTGCTTTCCTAGTCTCTGTGAACAGAATGGCCATTCACTCCATCCAGAAACACACAATCATCTTCCTGGGCAATTGGTAACCAATTTCTGTGGATTTTAGCTCCACCCTACTGCTACTGTCTTGCTTTATATTCTAATTATTCTGGCCTATGTGCACTTTGAATTGTCTTGCTGTCTCCCTTCTATTGTCCTTATTCCATACTGCCACCAAAGTCATAAAACATTGTAAGGTGCAACCCATTAGAGGTTGTGCAACCAATTTAGTAAATTGCATTAACTTTTCTAGATGAAATAGGTTAGAATGTAAAATATAAAGGCAAGTAAAGTTTCATCATATTCTTATTTAATATATATACATTCATATATATATGCATACACATATGCATATATATAATGTGTGTATAATTGCCATATACAATGTATTTCTTAATAGTAGATGATGATCAAGGAAGTTCAAAAGCCATTCATCTATTATTAAAACACACAACTAATCTGCTTACTTTTTTTCTTGAAAAACTTCATTGGCTCCTCAGTTTCTACTGAATAAAGTGCAAATGTTAAGCAAAACCTTCAAACACCCATGATAGGGCTGCAGCCTGCTTCTCTCCACTTCCTGTCATGCTTTCAAACTGGAGGACCCTTTAGGGTTACATGGTGATATGCCAGAATGTACAAAGGGGCCCTGGATAAACATTCTACCTCTCTCCATAAGAACAATTTTACCTGCTGGCAAGTAGTATAAAATATTCTCTTTGTATTCAAATAGCACAAATATGTTACAAAATATAATTTAAAGCATTGCATGAACTTTAAATACTAGAAACAAAATACTAGAATGCAATAGGAGTCACTGGAGATAATAGGACAAGGTCCTCCTCTCTGCTACCCAGAGCACTCAGCAGTCAGCATTTGAGAAACACTACCACAATCACCAGAAATGCTCTGACATGTTCCTCTCACACTTACCATGAATAAAAGCTGCTCGTGTCCAGCAACACACCAGCATAGTGATGCCACCTGGAGCTACTCAGGCCTGCAGGTCACACAGAGCTCCCTGCTGAAGTGGACATTAGCTAGGAAGAAAAAGTAAACCATAAGATCTAGAGTCAGAAAACCTAAGTTCAAATGCCACTTCTGTCACAGGCATTAAGGTGCTAGACAAAGCTGAGAGTGATCCACCTGCACCACCGTCACCCCATAGACCCTCAGGGAATATGTGACTGATGGAGCTGGCTAGGCAGGTTTCCACTTCCTCCCACATGTTACACTGGGATCTCAAGAAAGCTGAGCCCTCGGTGGAAGAGTAAGCACTTTACAAACAGAGGCAGGAAGAGTCCTCCCTGCTACAATCTTAAATCAAGTCATTCAAGTCCTCTAAGCTCAATTTCTTCTTCTGAAGAATGGGACTTAAAGTAAAAATACCTCCCTAAGAGGGTTATCTTGAAGACTAACTGAGCTAATACACAACACTGTCTGAATAGACCTCCTCTTATATAATAAGAATTATTATTTTTATAATATTTAGTTTATGAATTGCTTTGTAACAAAGTTTTATATAAAAACTTTGCTTTCTATTAATACCTGGAACACCTGATTTTTTTAACTGGTTCTAGGACACAGAAATTTTTTCTCTTTAATTGTATCAGAAGTAGACTGAAAATAAAATATGGCGCTATACAGGTCTTAGACGATCTTATAACATTGAGAATATATTCCCTAAACCCTGCTGAAGTTACAATAAAATTATCAAAGCTTAGGAAGTTAACAGCAATTTACCATTTCCAATTCTTGTGAAAATGGGGATTCTACACAGAGAAGAGAATATTTTAAATCTGTTCAGTGGAAATCGCAAAAATTAATAGAATGTGTCAAAAGGGTTCAGAAGCCAACTTGATGAGAATCCTACTGGTCAATTTGAGCTTCAAAAAAACCCTTAACAATCGTTATTGATTGAAACTTTATTAAATATGTCAAAATTCATGAGTTCATGATAATATTTTTTTTAAAAACTAAGAACTGTTCCGCATTAGAGGAGGTTAAGGAACTAACTCATTATCTTGAAAGTGGTAAATTGGGGGAAAAGAACCAATCACTTATCCTGTCTTTTCTACATGCACTGTACCATTGGTAGATGAGGAAATGCATCTCCTTATAAAAGTATTCCAACTAATAAGTGAAAAAGAAATAACAGAATTTGAGTACCACCATTTGGCAACCCCCAATGAAGTTATGGATCTAGATATGGACAGTTACTAATGTCACAAAAAGAGAGTCAGATATTGTATACCTCCTGATGAAAGAAGGTACACAATCTATAGTCTCACTGAAAGGGGTAAGATCCAAGTCTGATGAAGAATCTGAATCCAGTTGCCAGTTTGCAGGAAATACAGAGGACAGAGGAACATGCCAAGCTGCACCATAAGTATGAAAACAGTGATACCAAGTGTAGGAAACTCTACAAATCAAACAACTCCAGTTTTTCAGTAGATAAATCACAAGGACAAGAAACAGTAGGAGGGTGAAAGTGTAGATTGTGAGAGACTTAAAAAACATCCATAAAATTTTTTTAATGGCCAAAAAAATAGTGTCTATGGATATACACATGGGTCATACAACTATAAAGAGATACATGGAAGGTATTACTATGAAAATAAGGAGCATACATTTATTTTGTATGGCTTTCTAAGTGTGTTTTATTCCACTATATATAAAGATTAAAAGTAATAAAAATCTATTTAACATAAAGGATAGCTGTCACAACAAAGGGAGAATTTCAACAAGATTCTGTCATGTGTATTACACAAGATTGAAAATATCGAAAAGTACCTATAATATTTCCAGTGATTATTATATCTGGCAAAAAGTAGAGAGAGGGAAAAATAGGAAAAGGCAAGAACCAAGTGAAATAGTGAAATAAACAGCTGGAAAATAACTTCTAACTCCTAAAACAAATTCAAGAAATACAGCAAACAGCTCAAAAGTAGGCTTAGATTTTACAAAGAGGAATAAATCTTTATAAAACCCCCATGACTTGGAAGATCTGGTCCTTTGAAACTCAGGGTAAAAAAAATTTCCTTGGCATATTCTAACCTTGCTGTAATTATTGCTGAGACAAGTTAAGAGCCTTAAAATTCAAATGGATTGTTTTAAACATCATTGTTAGGCAAATTATCTGTAAGTGACAAAAAAGAAAGGAGTGCCATCAGAATCCCAATGCCAAGCTATATGATCATACATTTCCAGGAACACACCTGAAATGTGGTTAGGAGAGACAAATTCTAACCTGTAGAATGCATACTTGAAAAAGGGATCTGCTTCCTCCCCCTTTCCTTCTATGTGCTCCACTGTCTTCATGGCTTATCCTGTCTGTCATCCTAGAGGCAAGTGACCTAGTTAACTGAACTCTCTCACATCAGACCATCCAGATTAGTCACTCCTCATTCTACTCCACCTCTCTTTTATTTATTTATTTATTTAGCTTTTTTCTACCATTCCCATTATCTTTCTCTTACTTTCCTCATTAGAACCCATCCTCCTCTGCCTAATCTCTCTTCTTTCTCATTATAAGAATAAAAACTATTCACTATTGAGGAAATTGAATGATTTAGAATAATGATGTTACATCGATCTACTAAACAAAATCAATAGAGGAAAAATACATAATTGGTATACAAGCATCTCCCATTTTGAGTCAATGTATCTATTTCAACATAGAAAACACATTTGTCAAAGTTTAGAATAATGAATAAAACTCATTTATTAAGTCACTATAAAATTTCAGATTACCATTTTCACACATTTATGAAAGGCTTTGGGGAGCTGTCAAAAATATCGCCATAGTGGTTCTTCCCCTGTCTATTGCTATTCCGGTTTTTTTCTTCTATGAAACCACCTCCCACTCTAGAGGCTTAAAATGCCAGACACTCACTCTACCACTTTTAGGAAGGGTATGGGCTAGTAACCATTGGTACCAGCAAAGGAGTCGGCCAACAAGGTGAAGGGGGGAGCTTCCAAGGAAAACATTGTTTCCCTATTCAAGAGATGGAAGGGGAGATAGTCCCCTTTATATTTGGTCACCATTATCTGAGGATCCATGTCAGCAACAAGGACAGTCCTTTTCACTTATGAAGAGAAAAGCTTAAGGACAAAATCCAATAAGCCAAGAGTGGTGAAGTAGAAAGCTGAAAGCCTGAGTCCTTGATAGCACACTTAACTTCCAAATCAGCCTGCCTTAGGACTTACTTCCAGGTGACATAATAAATATTTCGTTGTTTTTAAAACACCTTTAGTTATAATGCCTGTTACTTGTGGTTGTAAATGTCCTAGCTAATATACATCTTGATAATATGGGAAGACTTCTCGACTCTGCTGATCAGGAAGTGCCTGTAAATCGAGCAAATATAATAGAGTGGGAGGAGGGGAAGGAACTTAAATGTACTAAGTAATAATAATTATTCTTTTTCATCTAATTTTAAAGACTTTGCTTAGTATACAAGCAAAAATGTATCTAATTTCAGACAGATGGATTTTATAGGCAAAAATATGATTAATAACATTAGTAAAAATTAGAATTACAGTCATCCCTCAGTATCTGTGGAAGGCTGATTCCAGGCCCCCTGAGAAAATCACAATCCATCATGCTCAAATCCCTTATATAAAATGTAGTATTTGCATTTAACCTCTGCACATCCTCCTGTATGCTTTAAATCATCTCTAGATTTCTTATAATACTTAATACAATGTAAATGCTATGTAAGTAGTTGTTATACTATATTGTTTAGGGAATGACAAGAAATAAAGTCTGTACATGTTCAGTACAGATGCAGCCATCTTTTATTTTTTTTTGAGAAGGGTCTCACTCTGTCACCCCGGGTAAAGTGCAGTGGCATCATCATAGCTCACTACAACTTTAAACTCCTGGGCTCAAGTGATCCTCCTGCCTCAGCCTCTCAAGTAGCTGAGACTACAGGCTTGTGCTACCATGCCCTGCACATTTTTCTGTGAGGTGGGGAGGGGGTGGTCTCGCTCTTGCTCGGGCTGGCCTCAAACTCCTGATCTCAAGCAATCCTTCTGTGTCAGCTTCCCATTTTTTTTTTTTTTAATATTTTGGGTCCATGGTTGGTTGAATCCACAGATGTGGGAACCATTTATTTGAATTATTTATACCTTCCACTTTCAATGATCTCTTTTGAAACATAACTAATCTAGAAATTATGATTTCTGTTACAGAAACAGAACAGATAGATTATCTTATGTCTATTTTCTTCATAAAACACAATATCAGGAGTATCTAGATTAAAAATTTCTTTCCAACACTTGTTTGCATTTTCTCTGACATTCCACTCTTATGACCAGCAATAACATGCTAGAAAAATGAGTGAAAAATCTGTAAAAATAACTTCATAATATACTTGAATCTAGCCAGATATAGAATATAAAGAGACAACGATATTGAAAATAGAGGCTATAGAGATCTGACTTTTAAAAAAAGACAAAAGAAAAGGCAAGGGGGAGGGAGAAGAGATTGAGAACATAGAAACAGAAGAACAAAATCTGAGACTGTTATATTTATCTTCGTTCCCCAACCTCCACCCACTCCTTTTTAAAAATATTTGAGCTTGTTCCAAAAACACATGAAAGAAAACAGACTAAAGAATTTTCTGGATAGACTGTGATTGCTGGGGATGTTCTGAAGAGCATGATCAGGAACTGAAAGCTAGAGTAGAAAATTCCTGTTTTAAATGAATTGAAGGGCTCCTGAAACATTTACAAATCTTTTTCATTATCAAAAATGACTAATAAAGTCAGCTAAAGGACTTAAGCTAAAAGGATATCTGCTGTTTGTAACTTTCTATGAAATAAAAAAATTGATATATAATTTACCTTCTCTCACTATAAATCATTTAAAAAGAAATTACCTCAGTTGGAAGAAAAAAAAAAAAAAAAGAAAGCACTAGATTGTAGGGAATGGCCGATTAAGAAAAATGCTTACTAAGGGTATGTTGATTGCAAAGAAAACTTTGGCAGAGGCTCCTTACGAATCAAGTGAAGTGGAGAGGTAGGATTTGACAGT